TCAAAAAATAAACTAAAATTTTGAAAAAGTAAAAATCAGAAAGAGAAAAATCAAAAATATTTTTCATAATTTTTCCAGATTTTTTGGAGTAAAAATAAATTTTCTATTATTTTTTGAAGTTTAAAGCAATTAAATATAGAAATCATAAATAAAAAATAAAGTCAAAAATATGTGGACCATTGGATAAGAGTCAAAACATGTTAGTAATCAAATCCAAGGGATCTGGCACGCTGTGCATATCATGGTCATTACTGAATAAAGCATATAATCAAATATAAATCATAAATTCAAAAAATACAAATGACATGCCATCATTGGTTGGAAGATGACACGTTGGTCATCTTCAACCTCCAGCCAGTCCCAAAACCAAGTTTCCCAATCTGTAAAATTAGAGCACGAGACCTATGCCATTTGCTTCGTCTCTTCAAGACGAAGATAACCACACCTTCGCGACAAATTTATATAAACTGTAGCTCAAGCAATTTGGAAGAGAAGTTTTAAAAAGGGATTTGAAATTTCATGGTCAAAACGTGTTTCCAGATAAAAGCAAGTATTGCGACTAGAACTAAGGCAATGAGAGCTTCACAATGATATCAAAGTTTGGAAGAATTGATGGAGAAATCTACCTATTGAAGTTGAGTTGCAGAGCTCTGAAACTGGACTTCTATGGATCAACATAGGTCACGATTCTTGAAGGTAATTGTATGGCTAGCTTCAAGGAATATCAAGGAAGGTGAATTGATAGGAAAATTGGATTGAAAAAGGCTTGAACACTGATTTCGAAGTTGCAGAAAAATGAGTTATGGAGCAAGTTTGCAGGGTGATTTTGGATGTTCAAGCTTGAAGAAATAAATGAGGGATGACCCTGTATTTATAGGGAATCAAATGGAATGTTCAAGCGTGTGAAATGATGAAGTTTGGAGGGAAATCGTGTGAAGTTGCAAACAAGAAAAGTGTGACTTCTAATTTGATCAAAACTCATCCAAAACACGCGTTTTGCTATGTTAATCACTTCTGGAAGTTCACTAAACATGTTTAGAAGCAAAAACGCACAGAAACAATGTGTTTAAAAGCTAAATCAAGGATTTCAAATTCCGACTTTTGAAGAAACATCAGTTTCAAGTTACCAAGTTCAAATCAATGGCATTCTAAGCTCAAGGGGTCTTAGGGTATGATTCTTGATGCTTTAGAAAGATGAGGTTACAAGCTTTGCAATGGGAAAATAATGGAATCACATGGATGTTTGAGCTAAATGTTGCAATAAGTCAAAGTTGAGAAAAAGAGGTTGACTTTCCACACTTAGAAATATTTCATGTTTTTCTTCAAAAGTGACCTATAATGTTTTGCATCCAAACATGTCCTTCCTCTTGGAATTTGCTCTTGACCAAAACATGGTATGAAATAGACATCTTGAATGACATTTTGAAACTTGAACCATTTAAAATCTCCAAAAATTGAGAGAGTTATGAATTGTTGAAGTTGGCAAAAAATCACGAAATGACCTATAATCTTTTGTATCCTTAGAGCATCTTCCATCCATTTTCTCACTTTGCATATAAAATAAGGAATAAATTTCACATCCTCAAGATCATTATGGAAAAAGAGTGGGCTCAAGGTGATAAAAATTGACCAAGTTAAAATCATTTGAAGTCACACATGGGAAATTGGAGGTTCATATGGAGGACTTGTAATCTTGCTTCAACATTAAGTTTCTTCCATATGAAAACTCCTTGAAACTTTTGAAGTGATTTGTTAATAACCATTTGAAGAGAAAGATGTTTTTTGGAATCACTCAAAAAAACCAAAAGATGAGCAAGATATACTTCTTTGAAGTTCAAAACCCTAGCTCCTAGATCAAGAAAATGCTTTGAGGAACTTTGACAATTTTGAACAACCTTCTTGTACCAACACTTTTGTTTTGTAGATAGAAGTTGTTGAGGATGATAATGAGAACTAATAGAAACCAAAACCACTTCCATATATTAATAATTGAGATAAATATTCACTTGTGACCAATGGGAACAAGACCTTGTCCAACCAGGACAACTTCTTCAATCAACCCCTTGTAGTTTTGAATCAATTTTGATAACTTTGAAATATGGTGAACCAAAATAAATCTTGCCATACCATTTCTTCCGAAACAACTTCAATGGTGAGATTTAGATTTCTCAAGCTTTATTGACTAGGACATGGAAATAAACTCATGAACCCATAGATCAACTTGCTAAGTCACATTGCCTTTACCTACATTATTAACAAGTGAGACAAACCAACGTTGCATTTTATTAATTAAAAGGAAAGTCAAAACAAAACATAAATGATCACAAAAGAAAAAAAAGTCAACGTGCTTGGTGATTCCTCAAAGAGCAAAGCTAAAGATAGGGAAGAGGACCAAAAAACCTAATGTGATCTTGTTGTGATTGAATCAATATGGTATGATGAAGGGATCTTAGGGGCAAAAATTGGGGTACAACAAGCGGGAACCAGGGTACGCGATTCTTGTCTACACATAATCAGAAAAACCTCTGATTTTATTATGAGAAATAGTTTATATAAAAATAGAGAAAATTGATAACACCTATTTTCATCTGTAAGTTGTCATGTCTCAGATAAATACTTCGTCCACTTTTGTCGGCCTGATTTATTTATCAGAGAGAAATTTCATGCAAATATAAAGATGAGACTTTCTCAACTGAGTCCGAGACACTTTTGTCGTCTTGTTCTTAGTTGTCTAGAATTTTACTATCGGGTACTGAAACATACCCTTGAGCGTATGATCGATACCTAAATTACCTTTACTTTTGTCAAAGATATATGTTTTAAAAATTCCTAGTTTTGAAATAATTCCTAGCTAAATTCCTCATAACCAAACAATACAAGGTTCAATGGAGATATGTCATAAGACAATCCTCATGACCCTTCGTCCCTAGAAGACTGTTCACTCATACTCAACAGTAAAATAAAAAGAACGTACATAATTAATTTCATACATGATCAAAGGAAAATAATAACAATAGAAGCAAGCGATTAAAATTTGGATTGAAAATAAAGAAAATTTGATTAAAGAAGAAGCTCCAAAGAATGAGGGTGGTGAGCAACACAGGTTGTGCTGGCTGACACGAGATATGGGGTTATGAGCAACACAGGGTGTGTTGGCTAACACTAGCCAACCGTGTTGCTTTATGCTACCGTGTATGGGAGATGTGCTAATAGTCAACATGACCCGTGTTGATGGGCACGACCCACACGTGTTGGCTGTCAAAAATTTGTACGAGATGATGTATTCTTAGATCCTTTCACTTTTGTTTTGTCCCACAAGTTCCTTATTACCTAAAAAGAAGACGAAACACAAAAACTCATATAAAAGTGAAAAACACGAATTTAAATGACTAAAACATAATGAAAAACAACCACTATTACAGTGTAAAAACCCTTATCACAATGTCCATGTGTTAATCTGCTAGCTATAACTCGCCCTTTTCCATGAAAGCAGAAATGTCATGAGGACACACTTCTCAATTTTCAGAGAACATCATTATCTTCCATGTAAAGGAAGATATCACTAGTATTGACTCAAAATCCTTCATTGACACTGCCCCATCAGGACATATATACTTTACATGTCAAATCTTTCCACATTTGTAACATCTCACACTCATTTCATTGTTTTTCTTCACATAAGACTTTCCTCTAGAAATCAACACCAAGTTTGATGAAATGAATTATCCTCACCCTTCAATCTTTTTTCTTCAAAAATAATTTTACTAGTAACTTCTTCAAAACACAAAGTTTTCTTCCCATATATTAAAACAAGTTTAATATGATCATAGGAAGATATGAGAGACCAAATGAGTCTCTAAGCTTCATCTTCATCATCAATCTTGACTCCAATAGTTTTTAATTCATAAACAATACAATTGAGAATACTAAGATGATCAGATACTTTTTTATGTTCATCCATACGCAAGCTATGGAGTTTCTCCTTCAACAACTAATTGGAAATACCCATTTCTTAACACATCCCTTCAAGTTTCTCTCAAATTTCTTTGGCAGACGACATACCAAAAATATTTGCAAGAACGTTCTTACTCAAAGATATGCAGATAGTACTTGAATTTCTCAAATCTAGTTTCTCCCACTTCTCGTTATCCATTTTAGAAATGTTTCCTTTCAGCGCCTTGTGTAATCCTAATTGTATCAAAACATATTTGACTTGAATTTTGCACAAGCCAAAATTGATTCCTTCCATCAAATTTCTCTAATTCAAGCCTTACTGCACTTGGAATACTTGACATTGCAGCCAAACCGTTTTATGTAGTAAAAATTTTTCCCAACCAACAAAGAGTATACAATTTATCCAAAAATTTATCCCCGACCAAACCAAGGCTCTTGAAACCAATTATTAGAAAAAACAATGCATGGAGAAAAAGAGGAACACAATAACAACACATACATAACGAAGAAACTCCAAGACTAGAGAAAAAACCATGACCTTTGTCAAATGACAACAAAAAAATAACACTATAAAAATTGTTACACCACATAATTTATCCTCAACATCCCCAAGACCCCAATATACCCACACCCCACTAAACAAATATATAACTACATCTCACAATACTCTAACACAAAAATATAAGAGAAAATATAAAAAGTCAAATACAAATTTAAAATAGTTTTGATTGATGCATTTTATAACAAAGAACTTAAATCCTTTACATAGTCTTAGATTCTCTATTTCTTTATAAAACTAAATCATTAGAGATTTTTTTCAACATGTACATTTTCAATCAATCCTAATGTATTACTCATGACCTTCATGATATCATGAATGACATTTGAATTAAAATAATGATTACACAAATAGTGTCATCGGAGGTATTAATCTTATGCAACAATCCAAATTGGTTAGGACATGAGTTCTTATTAGTAGTAATAGTAGATACATGCTCCAACCAACCTTGGTTGGCATCATTTTCTTAGGCATTGACTTGCTAGAGTCACTCACTACCAAAACTATTGGTGTCTCTACTTGTAGTAGAAGTAACAATGTCAAGATCTTCACAAATCTCATCTCTCTCCCATATGTTACCCATCTTGCCATACACCTCAAGCATAGTAGGTCTTTGTTCAAGGAGAGGATGAACACAATCACATGCAATTCTAAGAAGAGCAGACACCTCATCTTCAAATTCTATCATGTTTAAAGATTCATCCATTACATCATAGAACCCAGAATGGTCCTCCAATAGGTTCATAGGATTCGGATACGTGTATGTCGGAAAAGGAACACTAGTATTACTTAAATAATCACTAATTTGGCCAAATTTCTTCCCCTTAAGCAACTCAAAAAGCAAACAACCAAAGTCATAAACATCCTTCTTCTCAAATCCTATGTTTTTGTTCACATCATTATTCATAATAGCCTCTCCAACATTGGATATTTTAGGCTCAAAATTGTTCCCTAACAAGATACACTCGGAACTTATTCTAAGATGAACCATATGCAAGCTATGATGGAAGCAGCATAAACCTCTTGCTACACCAAGTGCAATTTTGATAACTCTTGACCATCCTAGTTTTGTAGTATCATCATTCAACCAATCAGAAAGTTTTCCATTTGGCATGTACGGATACACCAAAATTCTTTCATTTTGTTCTTCTTCTATGCAGAAACCAATCAAGGGAACTAAATTTCTGTGACTGTATTGTCCCAATAGCATTATTTCTAACTCGAACCTCTTGATATGCATATGTGAATCATGTAGTCTCTTAACTGCCAAGAAAGAACCGTTGGAAAATGTTGCCTTGTACATTATTCCTATCACCCCTACTCCAATGACATTGTCCTTGCTAAAGTGTTTTGTTGCATGTGAGAGTTTTGTGAAATTTATTCTATAACTCAATCGTCCAACTTTATTGATCTGTTGATATCATCCATAAAAAAACAATTAATATATTACTCTATTTAAAAAGTATAGATTATAGATATTTGTTAAGACTCTCATATTAAATGAGATAAAATCTATGAATGTTAAAGTGACAGTAATCTTTACCTTACAAGATTTTGTAAGAATTGAGTTAAACTCGATCAAATTTTACAATTAGTATTAGAAACTATTCAAAATTAGTTAAATCATCTATTATAACTGCTATTAAACTACTCAAATCATATAATAATACTTGTTTATAAGTGGAGATAATCTTCACTTACAATAAATTTAAGAATATTCAAAAAAATATTTAGATTTGTTGAATAATGGATTACCTGTATTCTTTTCTCTAGCAACCCCAAAGGGAACATTTTGTTTCTTTGTCCAACTTTCTTTAGTTTCTGTGAATTGATACAGCAAAATCTTTTGAAAATTATGCACATAAATTATTGTGACACCAAAGAATGAGAAAACTAAAACTTCTAAATAGCATCAACAATAGTAGTAATTCAATTAAATGAAAATGAGCAGAAAGAGAAATGCAAGAACCATAATATAGGGCACCTGTTTTGAGTTCTGATGAGGTAATTTACGCATCTCTCTTGTTTTCTTATGTTGAAGGTTCTTACTTTTTGTCTTCTTCATAAGTTGTTTGGGTAGACAATAGGACATATAAAAAACAATGGAAAAAGTTAGAGTGAAAAAATAGCCAGCAATAAGACCTTGGTGAAATGAATCTTTGAATTGGTTAGAGAATTCCATGATAGAGTCACACCAAAGAAAAGATCATGGAATCTAAGTTGTTGGCAAAAAGGTTGAGTTTGCTACATGTGTTGAGTGTTATTATAGGTATGTAGGAGATATTTGTGTTGTTTCTTGTTTTTGTTAGTAAAGTAGCATCATTGACTTTGTCATTGACTCCAAGAGTTTCGTGGAAGCGCTCCCCCTTGACTTGTAGAGTTGTGACCATGAAAGCGTGTATAATTTAATTTTAAGTGCCTCGCGTTTTTTATTCTCAATGGATTTTTTGTTTTGTTTTTGTAAAGTTGATTGGGTGGGAAAAGTATAAAGCGACTCTAATGGTCCATACCAGATGAGGGCCGATCCAATCTATTTGGAGGATTAAATAAAATTTTAGAGGATTTTATTTTATCACATCTTTTTCTAACGTATTATAAGAAATTTTAAAAATATTTTTTGAAAATCAGAAATATATTTCTGATGCGTACCTCGACATATATATAATTTACTTATTTTTGAGATTTATCACATTTTACAGTAAAAAAAGATATTGAAAATGTATTTCTAATATAAACTGAAAATGTATTTCCGGTTTCCTAATTGAGATTATAATATAATATATATGCTTGTATTACATAATAAGTAGTTGTTTATATTTTATTTTATTTTTGGTTAATTATCGTACCTGATCAGAATGGACCATCACAACTGACTCGAGCAGAAGTTGAGTGAGATTGGGGGGGAGGGGGGGGGGGGGGGGGGGGGGGCTACCTGCAAGACACTCTGATGCCAAAGTAAGTAGCAGAATGAACAAGCAAGCGTGAGAGTTAGAAAGTGTTGAATATCTGACTGTGATACGGTGGGAGAACTGATTTGGGTCGTTTGCGTTTGATTAAAATTGTGCGGTTAGCAAGAGTCGCCACCGACTTTTCTTTTATCCAAAAGGAAAGGTAAAAAAGCACAGGAAAGACCTTTCGAGATTATTTCTCGGGTTCGGGGGGTAAATTATGAAAAGGGAAGGTGTTAGCACCCTTTTCATCCATGGTTTTCCATGGGCTCTTAGTTACTTGCTAGATCACTTGTTTTTGTTTGAAATTATGCTTTATGTGGTTTTGAAAGTATTTTTGAAAAGAGGCTATTGTTTAGGAAAAATTTGTAATGATTCTCGTTCGTAAGAATGTATACAAAGTGTTTGATCTTTTGAAAATGTTTTCAAGTTTTGAAAGATGTTTTGAAAGTGTTGGTGTAAAATGTTTGGTTGTGAGCAAGCGAGCGATTAAGAGCGAAACTACCTACTCGAAAAGTCTTAAATGTTCTTTTCCTCCTTTAGATATTGCTATCTTACCATTGATTTGGTAAGAAGCCCCATCGTTGGATGTGAAGGGATAGGCGCGAGACGTTTGTACAGTCATAGAAGGCAACTTGTGAGACACTTTAGCAATTTTCGTAAGGGACTAGATCGTTTCACTGAAGGCAACATCAAGGGACATCGAGGGACTACGATCTTTTTCATCGAAGGGTCTTTGCTAAAGCGTCCCATATTCGAGGGACATGACTGTATTTCCGAGGCAACGAACGAGGTTACCCTAGAGATGCCCGTGTGAAAAAGTGTGTTTGATTCAAGTTATTTTATTCTTTGATTAGGGTTGTCTAGAAGTTGATTTTAAATCTTACCATACACGCCTAATTACTATACAGTATAAAAAAACAGTAAATTGTGAAAATTAAAATTCTACGCTATTACAGAGCTTTCGGGAATGGGGGTACAAATTTACAAATGGGGATGGATCAATACGATTAAAAGTCCAAATAGACAATCAATACAACCAAATCGAATCGAACAATTAATTAAAATTATAATAGTTTATGAAGTAAAAATTAATTATCAAAGTATCAGATTCTAAGTATTTTGTTTGAAAAGTTAAAAAGAAAAATAAAATTTTATTCTATTAAAGAAAATAATTGATTTAAAGAAATTAAATCATTTGTATATATATATTTTTTGTTTGGATTTTTATTATGTAGAAACTAAATATTTTAAAAGAAAATTTTCTAAACTAAAATGTTAACAAAATTATTCATAAAGTCCCAAATTAATCTAATTAAGAAAATTAACTAATTTAGAAACTATACTTTATTTAATTAAATTGTAAAATCTAAACTAAAGATTATTAAAACAGGGTAAAATGAGGGGTTTTAGTAGAAAAGAGGGGGGCGGAAAACTGGGGCGCTGGGCTCTAATCTGCTAGGCCCAAAAGTTAGTTTTTTGTTTGTGTTTTTGTCCAATGGAAATGAGGAAAATAGAAAAAAATAAGAAAAACGTCACCGGGGGGTCTCAAACCCAGGGCACTGCGCTTACCAAACGTTTCCCCCACCCACTGCATCAAATTATCCATTCATTTATTTATTTACATTGGCTAATATATAACTTAAAGCCTAAAAAACGGGGTGGGCCAAATAGAACTGGCCCAGACTCGGTTTTGGGAAGGATAGGGAAAGGTTTTTGTAACCCTAGGTACATGGGCGCCGTTATTGCTTAGTCTTGGAAAGGGAAAAGCTTTTTATCATTATTATGTTTTGAGAAAAAGAAACGATTAATAAAACAAAAAACGGCCATCCTCTTTCTTTTGTACCATCATCACCTTCATCCTCTAACCATTCCAACAACATTCATCTTCTCTCACTCACCATCATCAATGATTACCTTCCCTTAATCCTCTGAACCCTATTCATCTTCTACTCCCAACTGCCAACGATTCCTTTTCTCTGCTAAATCAAATACTCCCTCTCTCTCTCTCTCTCGGCCTCCCTCTACTTTACAAAGCTTTCAAAACAAAAGGAAAACAACAGCGAGAACCACAAGTAATCGATCGATTTAAATAGAAGACATGCATTTCAGACAAGAATCGATGTCAAATGAGAGAAAAAAATGATAATCAGAGATGGATCATATTACCGTTAGAGAGGCGATTTTCTTTGAGAACAGTTTCAGGTATAATGCTTCCCTTCCCTTTGTAATTTGATTCCGACCTCTATCTCCTTCTTCTGGAACTTTTGTTTGGGATGTGTATTATTTTTAGTTATTGCTTGCGGAGAGGAAGTAGTAGCTCGTGAAAAAGAGGTTAGATACGGATGATAGGTTGCTTATTATTGCGCGAGAGAGAGGATGACGCAGAATAAGGTTATGGAGGTTGATTGTGAGAGGGTTTTATGAGGGTGAGATGGCCAAGGGATTGTAATGCTTCTGTTTGAGGTTTTTTAAGGGTTGTGTTTGGGGTTCTGAGATTGTATATCACTCCCTCTTTTTTCTTTTCTATACTTGCTGAGTTTTTCTTTGGTGAAAGGGAAATAACAGATAGAGAATGTGAGAAACGTTATTTGTTATGAAAACAGCATGTGGTCTCTTTTTTTTAGTTAAGATGGATTTGTTATATAGGTGAGATAGTGTGAAAATGGGGGGGGGGGGGAGCTATTGAATTTGAACAAATTTGGCTTACTATTTTGTTGCTTTGTGGTGGCGGTGTTTTGTGTTTCCTGTTTTGATGTTATTGTGCAGCATTGCAGACTGTTATGGGCAGCAAGGTTTTAGACTGGTTTTGAGCTAGTTTGTGGATTGTTATATTGCTGTGTTATAGCAGGTTTTTGGAGCTATTGTGAAGGCTTCTTGAACTGTTTTGGTTTAGGTGATATCTCTCTCATCTTTCCTCTTTCCTCTTTCAATGAAAAAAAAGCAATTTTGCTTATTTTTGAAATTCTGAAGGGTTTGCAGTTTTATAGGGAAATGATGACATGTTTGGATAAGTTGACTAGCCTTGTTGCTGCTACTATGCTTATGTTGTATTTGTTCTACTTTGCAGGCTTGGTTCTGTGTTGGTTTTTCATTGCATATGTTGTTTCTTGTTGTTATGTACTTTGCTGCAGGTTGGGCAGCTTGCTTGCCCTGCTGCATTGCAGCTTGCCTTGTTTTGCATTGTTTGCATATGTTGTTGCTTGCTTCCTGCTGCTATGTTTGTTGCAGGTTTTGGACAGCATGCTTGCTGCTATATGGTTGTTTCTTTGTTGCAGATTGGGCAACTTGCTTGTTTTGTTTGCTTTGTATATTTCTTTTCCCTTTTTTTATGAACCAAAATTCAGGTTTTTGAGATTTGCAAAATAGGGAGAAATGAATTTTGATTAAAACAAACAAACATTCTGATTCCAAGACGTAAACCCTAATGATGAATTTCTCTTCTTTACACATTATTTTTGATTGAATGCTTACTAACTTTTCTTCTTCTTGTTTCATGAATGGCAAGCGAGGCTTGGGATGAGTTGCTTGAAGACGAAGCAAGGAAGACTTGAAGAAGAAACAAAACTTCTCTTTGTAAACAAGAAACTTGTGATTCTTTGTAAACAAGATAAAAAATTTGTAATTTTATTTGCAATGTAATGATATAAAGCATTGAATAACTTTTGATATGATGGGATTCTATACAAATCTTTGTATTTTAATTGAATTTTGAAATTCCCAATTGGAATAGTTTGAAATGAAATACTTCAGTCTGGTAACTTGAATTCCACGGAATCACAAATGAATTTGTAACTTGTATTTCAAACAAACATGCACCTTTTACTCTAATCCAATTCCTAAACAAAACAAATGTTTAAGAATTCAATTCCACTTGGTCAACTTGAATCCAAAATCATGGTTGTTTTAAATGAAAGTCTTAATCTTTAAATCGTATCCAATTAAAACTTGCATTCAAAAAGGACTCGCATGCCACACTCGATTAAAACAAACATGCTTTAAGAACATTCATCAATCTTGTAATAAACTGTGGTTAAGAACATTCAAAAATCAACAAATGACTTACAACGATTCGATAATTTTTGAAGTCTTCCAAACACAATTTTCTTTTGATCTTTAAAAATAAACTCGTGAGCGACATCACTTATGACCATATACATAAATAATCGTCTCAAGATCTTGTAATTTGAAGAAATCACAATTTTTAGAAATCAGACGACTGTTATTTAAAATT